CTACCCTACCCATCCCCACATGAAAGCTCCAAACGCACCCCCTGTCCCTACTATCCTACCTCAGTGTGACCAGCACTCAGGACCATCACCCTACCAGTATTGAGGGCAACTTGGACCAGACAACAGTGACAAGCACCAAGGCTGGGCCAACCTCCCAACCCTGATGGAAGCAGAAGTGGACGAACCTCGCCATACGGGAACTTCGGATGCTAGGTTGATGCAATCTTCTACAGGCCCAATTCAGAGTCTACCTAGCAGGATTACCTAAGCAAGGCAGGCCAGCGCCCGCGGACACATCCTACCGTCCTTCCCCTGACTTACCCAAGGCTAGGCGGAACTCAGACTAGCCGGAGCGACTTATATCCCTACCCTACCCTAGAGCTACCCGTTATGTACCTGATAGCCCCCCCCTGCCCAGAATCGTAGTTATGTGTATGTGTGTGTGCCCAGAGGCTATTTATGTTTGTATGAGCCCATAGGGCCATGTGTTTTGTATCTGCCCGAAGGCTATGTGTTCTCTGTGTAACTGCATAGCGAGATGTATGTACCCGAAGACCAGATATGTGCAGTACTATGTAGAGGGAACTATGTGTTCGTGTTAAGAGATGACAGGCCAAGCTGGAGAAGAACCCCCCCCCAAAGTCCCAAGCCAGACTCGAACCCGTGATCTATGACATGTGGCTTGAAGACTCTACCATTTGAGCAACAATCGCAAACGGCCCCTGTGTGTGATATGCCAGACTAGGGGGATCAACAAAACAACCACGAGCAACAACCACAAGCAACCCACGCAGTATCAAGACCCGACATACAACACCATGGACAAACCTTGGGTGGTGCGCAGGGAGTGTCTGTATAAGCTTATCTTGCGTCAGCCCAAGGGAATGTGTGTCCAGCCGTGCATCATTCTAATGCCCTGCCGCTGTCCATGCGCAAGGCTTCAATTGAGTTTTGAACCCGCAACCTCATACCACAATGCGCATTTCCAACCGATGCTCTAACCGCTAAGCTACATCAACTGGACCCCCGTGCCTAGCATCAAGAAAAACACCACCACCGATCACCGATCTCATCATCAACAGTGCCTCGGGGTCGCACACCCTTTCAGCTACTCCACATACATCGGTAGTGGGATCTCCCTCCTTGTCAATTCCAACCCCATCAAGTACTTAATTTTTTTCGCAAAATTTAAGAACTGCATGCTTGAGCATGCAAACGGCCAAAGAAGGGAGTCCCATCCGGCACACCAAGGGCTCCCTCGCAGTGGTACGGTAGACTACCATCGTCATGTACTACCAAGTGCCTCGTTCGACACCACTAGAAAATACTTGAGTTTCAAGTGCACACTAAAAGAGAAATTGTGATTCATTTAGGCTTAGGGGCTCGTTAGACACTCCTTGGAGTCCTCGGGGCCGGAGGAAGTTTCCTTGGGGGTTTTCAAGGAAATTCCCACCTTCGTTCCACCTATCCTTGGGGTGGTCTCCCGAGGATAATTCCTTTCGGCCGCCAGCGACCATTTTCATAATATGATAGTCAGCCGCGGGAAGGGCAAGACTTTGGTCTATTGGGTGATGTCCGTCTTGCTACGGTGTGGTCCAACTGCCAAAGGCGGGAAATTTTGAAAGGCGCTGGCGACCGAAAAAAAAAACCCCTTAAAAAGCAATGGACTTCCCTAGAAAATCGAATTTCAAATTGGGTAGTGAACGTCACGACGGCGATGCGAGGCACGTGGTATCCGTATCTGCGACGATGGAAACGGGGATTTGCAGCTGCGCAGTGGAGTCGTCGTACGTCGTCACAAATTTGTGAGCGCCCCGCGAAGGTCCATCGCCATCGCCTCTGCATGCCGCCACGCCTATGTGTTGAGTCGAGCACACACGGGGAACGTCCTCAGGGACTTGGCGTTGAGGTTACCGTGGTCTTGGCGAGTTGGTAGGTTGTTGTATTTTCGTGGTTCATAAGCATTGCAACACACGTGTCGATGGAGGGCGGCAGCGATGACGGACATGCGAAGTTGACGACGATCGAGAAGACGGTCGTGCTCTTTCGTTGTCAACAAGAGAGGGCATTGGGCAGAATGAGAGCGCAGATCCACGCACGGAGCAGGAAAACGTTTTATCAAGTTCCGGTCGAAGGACTGGATACCGTGGCCATCACGAAGGCTACAGTTCAGGTTTGTTGCGCCATGGGTTGCAGAGTTTTTCCATGAGCGACCCCGAGGTGGTGAATGACTCGGAAAAGGAGGACGGGGGGGGCGTGGGAGGATCTCAGGCAATGCGCTGATGCGATGGACGGGTACTTATGGGAGAAGTTGCGTATGTCGCCACATGTTTTTCGGGCGATGGCGATTGCATCCAGTGTGGACGAACGTCCGCGGGATGCACTGCCGATGTCGATGTCGACTGCAGTCGGTGTCGATCCCTCGTCTTCAAGTTCTCTGCTGAAGGCCTTCGATAAAGGTCGGCCATCAACGATAGAGGAAGCACATGTGGAACGGGAGGACTACGACAAGCAAAATTGTGACTGGGAGCAGCAGTGGCAACCTTCAATAGAGGTCGGCCATCAACAACACGTACGACAGGGCCGTAATTCTACAACGACGGTGAAGGTCCATCGAACGGCGACGATGAAGGGAGCACCCGGTAGAGGACAGCATATGACACACGCATTACAACGGGTCGTACGCCCTTGCACTGTGAGCCAGGCTGTGGCCTGCGCAGTGGCTTCTGGAGTGGTCCATTGAAGACCTGCTCTTCGCCTGCCGCCCCTTCATGCTGACGTCCTTCTTCGTAGACCGCCTTTACGTGTACGTCCAGGCACCCTGCCGAGGCACTAGCGGTTAATGGAAGGCCAAAATTTCGGGTTTTTTCTCCGCGTCGCTACAAGGAATGTTGTCGAAACTTTGTGAACAAACCATGCAGGGTCATAATACAAACAACAAAAAAACAAACGGGCAAAAGAAAAACAAAAAAAACAAACTCAAGAGCACTATAAAACCCTATCCGGAGTAGCTTTCGGAGTTCACCAGATCGTTCATTGAGTCCGATGTTTTTGCTAAGTTTTTCGTTACTCCGATGTTTTTGCTAAGTTTTTCGTTACTGGTCCAAATGAGGCGAAATTGAATACAGATATACCCTAAACCACATACATATCAGGCAAAAAAAAAAAAACAAGAAGAAAATAAAAATTCAGGAAAATACGGCGGTTTCGGTGAAAAATTCGCCATAATTCGTCGAAATTTTGGTCTTCCATTAACCGCTTCTCGCCAAGGATGTAGACATGGAAGAAGACGACAAGGACAAGCAAAAGGATGACCAGGAGCAGCAGCGGCAGCCTTGGAAAGACGTTGGCCATGAAAGGCAAGTGGGGAAGGGCGGTAGCTAGACGACGACGGTATAGCTCCAGCAAATGGTGACGAAGAGGGCTGCAAACAGCAGACCCCAGCCTGGGACAAATGCCTTGTAACGTTTTTCGTCGCGGAATACAGTGGGCAATCGGAGCAAGAGGGGTCAGCTGAAGTATTCAAATTTGCCGACCGTTCGGCCCCTTTCCGTTTGGCGGCACGCATTGCGAGGGAGAACACTGGTCGACGACGTCTGCGGCCGCCGGCCAGCCACCAACGGTTATCGTCGGCGTAAGGTTCCTGGAAGCCGAACGTTGAAGACCCAAGATGTCCGTGCGCTGCCCGGTAGGAACTCCAATGGACCAGCCGACGAAAATTTCTTGCCGACGATGGGTGTCCTCGCCGCTCCGGTTATCGTGGATCCTTGACCTCCAAGGGACCTCCGGAGGTCCATTGGGGAATGCCACCTCCAAATGGCTGTAGCCCGAGGACGCCCCAAGGATTCCCCAAGGAAATGTTTTCACTTTTTTTTTGGTTTTCATCCCCAAGGATAGGTGGAACGAAATTTTCCTCCGGGGATTTACACGCCCGAGGAGTGTCTAATGAGCCCCTTAGTCTAACTCTATTTATGGTTAGTCATGTACACTTGAGGAAACCCTTGAACAGCCTGCACACTTGAAACCCAACTCCACGGCTTGTTGACCAATCTGAACCAGGATCACCTGCTGGATAAATAGAAAACCTGAACAAAAAGCCCCACTTCGAGTGCCAGCTGGCGGTATCCGCCAGTTTCAATTATGCACACTTGAGAGCAGGAATGCGAAGGGAAAACATTACGGCGAATACCTTTCTGGGCCTTTTGGCTAAGTAAGATCAAGTGCACTGCATCTGTTCTGATCAGTGCAATATTTGATCCGTGGTCCATCGGACCACACGATATTAAATTATTTTTTGTCGGGCGTTGGAGGGGTCTGAAGGGTAGGCTTGCTTACTCGACCCCTCCAGAAACCAAAAAAAAAAAAAAAAACAAAAAAACATTACGGCGTGGGGGTCATTAGGGAGGGGTGCAACGAAGAATTTTCCGTCAACCCTTGAAGTACTAGTGGTGTCGAACGAGGCCCTGAGGGGCTCACTTGCCAACGTGGAAAACACAGCAAAAAAGAGAAAGAACAAAAAGAAGAAAAGAAATGTATCTACCCCCGAAAAAGGCGATGGCTCCCGGAAAAGAAAGAAAAAAGAAAAAAGTGTCGATGGACCACGGATCAGATATTAAAGTGATATAAGTACGGTGGGATGAGGCCCTGAGTGGAAGCGTGACGCCGCTTTTTCGCACGCTTTTTCGTTGTTTTCACCCTTCACGGCATGCGCCCCAGATTAGATGCACACACTCGGGGCGCAGTCTGCGGACGGCCACGTGGAAACAACACGTGGAAGGTACACCTGGAACGAGAAAGTGCCACGTGTGGAAGTGCCACGTGGAAAAGACAGGTGGAAGGGAAAGGGGAGATGAATGAATGTGGGTTTTAGATATGGTGATCACATGGACACGTGGAGGGTAAAAGTGCAAGGCAGGCGTGGAAGTGACATGTCGAACGACACGTGCAATTTGCAAGTGACACGTGGAATTTGCTAGTGACACGTGGAATTGAGATGCGGAGGCTGAAAGGGGCCTGAAGGGGGAGAAAGGGAGAGTTGGGGAAGGAGTGTAAGTCACTACCTCCGGGGAGGTAGTGATCATGAGCATTTGATTGATAATTCTGCTCTTTTTTTTTGCGGGGGGGGAATGTGGGGGAGGGAGGGGCGGGGGGGGGGGAAGCAATAGAGGCTCATATAGCTCAGATTGCGGAAGAAATTCAAAATTCCGCAAATAATTCTGGTCTCCAATCAGCAAGCAGATCTACGTGACGTCAGAGGTGAGCGATTGGTGGTAATTGAATGGACCCCTGGGGGGAAAAAAAAACAAACAAAAAAAAACACGAATTCATTCTTTTTTCTTTTTTTCGCTTTTGCGCTCTCATATATATATCGTCATATATATGGTCAAACAGAGCTGCTGCCTACGGTAAAGCGTAGGGGCAGAGAGGGAGGGAGAAGGAGAAGAGGACAACAAACGAGGGAGGGGCTGTGACAAACTGTTTCGTCGGAGTTTCACCTACTCATGAATCAGTAGAGGCTGAACCGTAATATATGTATTAATATATCTCGTCACAAACAGAACTGCCCGGTAAACCGTAGGCAGAGATATATATATATATAAAATATACATTTCAATATAGGCAGCTCTGTTTGACGATATAATCGGGTCGCTCTTTTTTTTTTTTTTTTTTTTTTTTTGGGGTCTGAAGGGGAGGAGTGCGGTCATTAAGCCAACGCCTGGCCTTTCTGTGATTTTCTGTGTTTTTTTTTTCCGCGATTTTTCTGTGATTTCTGTGGTTAATAACGGAATCTGTGATTTCTCCGAGATTGCTGACGTGGCAGCGTTTCCGTTTACGGTCTTCGCTTACGCCCTTTTGTTTTCAGGGCAGGCGCATGGTCTTTTTTTTTTTTAAACAAAAAATTGTACCGTGTCTTGATTTGTGTGTCTCGTGCTTGCCCGGGGGCATAGAGCTCCTCGATAGCATTTTCTTTCTTTTCTCTGTTAGATCTCCTTCCACCTCCTTTACCTCCACTACTTCCTCCTTCCCCCCTTCCTTCCTCCGCCCCCTTTGATCTGTAAGCCCCATTCCCTCCTCTATCACCTCCATCGCTGCCTCCATCGCTGCCTCCATCGCTGCCTCCATCGCTGCCTCCATCGCTGCCTCCATCGCTACCTCCATCGCTACCGTTGGATCATCTTCACTACCACCACCACCTCCTCCTCCTCCTCCTCCTCCTCCTCCCCCTCTCCACACCGTCATCTCCATCATCCTATTAGTCAACCCGATCACCTCCTCCTCATCCTCCTCATCCTCCTCCTCCTCCTCTTCCTCCTCGTCCTTCTTACGTAATTCTCTCTCCTGGTATTGTCTTCGACCATCTCTTGCTCTTCTCCCTCCTCCTCCTCCTCCTCCTGCTTCTGGTCTTCTTCCTCCTCTTCCTCCCCTCACGCTGTCACCTGCCTACATTCTTTGATTAGAACGGGCGCACTTGATTGATGATCGTGATCACCATTTACCGGTCAAGATGCGCAGTGTTGATACGTAGACGATTGCCCGTCTATGTCTTTGTCCTTGTTCAACTTCGGCGTACTCTGTGCCATAGCAGCTCTTTGGTCATATATACATACATCCATTACTCCATCCTTTCTTCTTCTTCTTCTTCTTCTTCTTCTTCCTCCTCCTCCTGGTCGTCTTCCTTCCCAACTCTTTTCTTTTTCTTTCTTCTTTCTTCTCCTCTTCCCTTCCCTGTTTTCTTCTTTTTCTCCTTCTTCTAGCCGTTTGGTTGAGCAAGCTTGCGTCTTCGATTCTTGTGATCGGATCATGGACCAGAAATGCAATGCTTCTTCTTCTTCTTCTTCTTCTTCTTCTGCGGCTGCTGCTTATTCTTGCGCAAGAGCTCTTTAGTGGAGCAAGGAGGTGGACTTGTTTCTCCTCGTCCCCTTCTTCTTCTTCTTCTTCTTCTTCTTCTTCTGGTATTATTACTGCGGACCGTAAAAAAAGAATAGGGGAAAAAAAAAAGGAAAAAAAGAAAACCGTCTTCCGAAGGGCAAGCTTCGTTGAAGTCTCCACTTTTTTTTTTTTTT